GGGTGACTTCTTCGTTGTTTCCTGAGTGGTAGCCCGATGCGTCAGTAAAATCAGTGGAAGCTCCGTTTCCCAGTTACCGCCCTTCGAGGCCAGCCACTCCTTCAGTGTACGGTTGTTTCTCTCCGTTAAGCCATTCGTCTGTGGATGATATGGGGTCATTCTGATCCTCTTGATGCCCAGCTGTTGCAAACGGCAAGTAAATTCTTCACTCTCGGAACAGGGACCTTGGTCTGTCAGTATCGTCTTTGGTACGCCGTGGTCTGCAACGATGTGTTTAACTACTGCGTCTGTCACGGTCTTTGCACGTTGATCTGGGATCGCTACGGCGTCTACCCATCGTGTCGCGTGTTCCGTCATCACCAGGAGGTACTGATTACCATTAGATGTCTGAGGAAATGGACCCATGACATCTACGGACCACAGGTCACCTATCGCCGTAACTGGAATCGACTGAAGCGGTGGTCGTATGCACCGGTCGCCTTTCATTAGCTGGCACCGTGGACATCCAAGTACGTATCTTGCTACGTCTTCTCTCATACCTAGCCAGTACATGCGTTGTCTTAGGAGGTCAGTTGTTCTGGCCACGCCTGTATGTGCTAGCTGGTGACATTCTTCTATCATGTCGTGGCGCGAGGACTGAGGTATGATAGCCAGCCAGCTTCCGTCGTTCTCTCGCCAGGTTAGAGTCCCGTAGGCATTCACTCTTAGTCGATCTCTCTGTCTGAGTAGTGTGGTTAGCTCCTTACTCGCCGTAGCTTGATCTACTTCTATCCCGTTGGTTATCACCTGTATCACTGTATTCAGCGTATCATCCAACCTTTGCTTGCGTGCAAGTTTTAGTGGGTCTTGTTCTACAGCATGCACTCCGTAAGCGACCTCGGGCAACTCAGGCTCGTCTTCTGGTCTCGATAACAAATCTGCCAAGACATTTTCACTTCCAGGAACGTGTGAGATCGTAAAATCGTACTCCTGAAGACGCAGCATCCACCGTGACAATTTCCCCCGTGGGTCTCTCGCTGTCTTCAAAAATTGTAGCGGCTTATGATCAGTTTCGATGTGGAACCGCCGGCCGAGTAAATAAGGTCTCCATTCGTCGACTGCCCATACCATTGCTAAACATTCTTTCTTTATCGTTGAATACTTTCTCTCTGTGAGTGTTAAAACCCGACTGGCATACACAACGATTCCATCACCTTGTCTTAGGACCGCACCTATGGCGTAGTCACTGGCATCTGTGCACACTGTAAACTGTCTTCCAGGTACAGGTAGTTTTAGCGTCATTTGTTGGTGGTCGAACAGGTGTTTAATTCTGTCAAATGTCCTCTGCGATTCTTCCGACCAAACAAACTTCGGCTCACCTAGTAGCCTGTATAGAGGGGCTGCTATCTCATTGAAGTTCTTCACGAATCGACTATAAAACGCCGCTCTACCCAAGAATTGCCTCAATTTCCTCTTTGAATTCAGGGCTGGAATTGTTTTAATCGTCAAAATTTTCTCCGGTAGTGGTTTAATCTCACCATTTCGTACTTTATGTCCTAACAGAGTAACATTCTTTCTGGCTATCTGGGACTTGGTTTTGTTAATGCGCAGTCCAAACTCTTCGATGCGTCGCAGCACGGCTTCTACATGCTTCACATGATCGTTTTCGTTTTGACTGTATATCACGAGATCATCACCATACACTTCCACGTTTTTCAAGTTCCTAAGTAATAGTGTCATCAGTCTTCTGAAGGTAAACGGTGCACCTGCTAGTCCAAACGGCATGCGTTTAAATCGATATTGTGTCTGGCCCACGCTGAATGCCGTCTTATCTCTATCACCTGGTTTTATCGGTATCTGCCAGTACCCTGAGCGAAGATCGAAAACGGAAAACACATTCGCGCCTTGTAGGCGGTCTAAAGTTTTCACCACTGTTGGCATGGCACACGGTTTTAACTCTGTCATACTGTTTAATTGTCGAAAGTCAACACAGAATCTATACTTCCCATTCGCTTTCTTCACTAACAGCACTGGAGAGTTGTACGGGCTATCAGCTTCTTCAATAATATCGTCTTTTAAAATCTCTTGCACTTGTCGCTTCACTTCGCCTTCCAGATGACATGGTATTCTTCGCGATGTAAATGACATTACTTTTGGATTAGTTAACGGAATTTCATGATTCACCTTGTCACAATAACCATATGGATCGCCATCTCCAGTGAACAGATGATCGTATTTCTTAATTAAATCTGTCATGTTGTATACCGTCGACAGGTTCACCGCTGCTATCTCGCTGGTCTCATACATTTTGATACGCCCGTATTTCGTGACTACCACTCCCGCCAAATCCTTAGACATTAGTATGCAACAGATTCATTGAATGCAGTAAATAAATCCATTTCTTCCCTGTGCTCTAACAGTATGAACTGTTAGTTAAGCAACTGACCGAATAAAGTGCCACTGGAAAATGTGAACTTCACCAAGCAACTAAGTGTTGTTTGATATTGCTACAACTCCACCACCACAACCACCCTTTATTTTTTCAACGGTAGATTCATACTCCGATTTTAGGCCATTATTCCTTCTTTTGATGTCTTTATACTAATCAACTTTTAAGTAGCACACACGCGGGTACATACATGATAGTGCCAACACCTGCAAAACCATGTCCTGATACACCGAGTACGTTCAGTCATGCAAAGCGTTCACCAATACGTGTGATCTGTACTTGAGGAGCGATATTTAACGCAATTAGTGGAATAAGCGCTTGCAGGACGTTGAATAAACGGACAGGTGGTTCACTTCGGTGAACTTGTAATAGCCTACAGTATTCAGTTAATGTATGTGAAGAACTTTGGCACCGTGTAATTCCATATTAATTTGTAAGATATATCATTTATCGTGAGTAATCATATGAACTGCAACTACACAAATTCTTGTGCAGTGATTTCGCCTTGTCAACTGGTAGTGCCCAAGGTTTTTCCAAGCAAGTATTCCTGAACTCCCGCGTTCGCAGTTGTATACTTACAACTGCTATGATTATGAACAACAAATTGTATTGGAAACGTCAACCAGTAAATAACGCTGTCACACTATGTGATATATCTAATGAACAAATTAATATTCAAGCCAATATTAGCATCTAAGATTGACTACGAAATGCTGCCATTCGACTCAAATGCCTAATTGCTCACTAGGAGTCATTTAATAAGCAGTCCTTGGTCTACAGTGGTTGCGAATATCTGCTGTCTAGTGGAAAGTAATCAAAACTCACGGCAGCAGACGTAGAGAAGAGTCAAATACTGTAGGATAATATAATCTTAATGGTTGTAATGCAAAGTGTTCCCTCTATAAGTATTGCAGACCTTCAGACGTCCATTTATCATCTGATCATCTAAGTAATAAATAAAGTTAGTGAGGTTGAATGAGGAAGTTTCAAATGAAGGAGGCGAGTGCGAGTTATCCCAATACAGATGCTCGTTGCTGATAAGTGCCAAAATGGATGGACGATAGTATCAAGCCTTCCCGAGGACTGCGTCACCTGAGCGTCCTACAGCACTAAGCAGCGAAACTTAGTTACTAAATTTCAAATTTTACCTACACATTTGAGATAGGAGAGCTGTTTAATACAGATAACGAAGCGCGTTGAGTGAGATTTGTAGAAAACGTTATTTACATTTACTATCGCCAATGATTTTCTTGATTGCAGTAGACCGGATAATGCGACAAACAGCGGGCAATGAGGAAACAGGCATAAAATGAACTCACACAAAAAACTTGGAGGATCTGGACTTCGCCGATGATATATGTCTGATTTCCCGCAAACTGGAAGATATGCAAGTGAAAAGCAACAAGTTGACAGAAGAAGCATCAAAGATAGGACTTCAGGTGAACGTAGAGAAAACAGAGGTGATGAAGATTCCCGGGCAAGAACAACAACAACAGACAACAATCAGCATAAATGGGAGGAACCTGAAAGAAACAACCTCTTTTACCAACCAACATGGGAAGCATCGTTTCAACTACAGGCGGAACTGACGAGGATATCAAAGCAAGACAAGCTTTCACTACTCTCAAGTCTGTGTGGAGGTCAACAGCACTCAGCATCAAAACTAAGATCCGGATTTTCAACTCCAATGTGAAGTCAGTGCTACCATACGGATCAGAGACTTGGCGCGTCATAAAGAGCATCTCAAACAAACTACAGACCTTCATTAACAGTTGTCTTCGCTCAATACTACTCAAGATCATATGGCCAGCAAAGATCAGCAACAGAGATCTCTGGGAGCGAACCAACCAAGAACCGATTGTGCAACAAATAGGCAGGAAGAAATGGAGATGGATTGGCCATACTCTGAGGAAACCATCAAGTGACATCACTAGACAAGCCATTGCTCGAGTGGAACCCGAAAGGGAAGTGGCGAGCTGGTCGTCCAAGGGTGACTTGGAGGAGGTCATGTGAAGAGATGAAAATGTGTGGGCAGACTTGGAGCCAGGTGAAGACTCTAGCAGAGAACAGAACGCAATGGAGACGCACGGCTGAAGCCCTATGTTCCTGTAGGAATTAAAGGATACAATAACAATAATAATAAATTAATGCATTCAAGAATGCACAGAACTAAGAGTGCCTAAACATGACATCATCGCAAATGGTGACTTGAAATTTACATGTACATAATAAAGCGTGGAAATTTGGACTGAAAATCAAAACGAAATACAGCAAATGATCGATAACTTTTTAATACTCTAAAACTGACAATATAACAGAACTTCACTACACGAAAATAGCTGAATTGTTGAACAGGTTCACATTTAGTCATGTACATCAGTATCTTTCACAAAAATAACTGTTCAAATACCAAATACATACTTAACTACAACAGCATAAATGCAATTTTTACTTGAAAATATGTAGCCAGACTTACAAAAAAACGAAAGTTAAAAAATAGGTCATACACCATTAATTAACAAAATGCAGAGTGAATTCATGAACACTTATTCAAAATGCGGCTGCAGAAATGTCATGAACAAGATGGTCGTAATGAATTATCATCCAAATCGTCATTCAAATCGATTGACTGTTCACCTGAATTTATAAAAAAACAATGTGCGTGAGTATATATATATATCTATACGCATTAGTGGAAAAATTGTTCACTAAAGTGTAACCACAATCACATGCAAATTGAATTACAAAAACAGTTAATCACCAACCATTTACAACTGAAGAGATGAGAAAAATGTTAATCGAAGTGTGCTTCACTTAACTTTCAAAAACCGATTGCCTGTATTTTCAATCTATTTTTCTACTTGCGTTGGTGGCGCAGCGGTAGAATGCTCGCCAACCACGCATGTGGTTCAGGGTCTGATCCCCAGCCTACGCACTCCTTACCTCGCTAAGCCAGTGATAAGGCTGGTAAGGAGGGAAGGTTGGGCATGAGGCTAGCAACCCCATACCGTAAAAGTAAATACCGCTGTTACCGAAACTTCAAAGCACTAGCTTGAAACCGTATGTTCCAGTGAGAGTGTAAAGGAATAAAATAAGAATAAATTTTATAGATGTATTTTTCAGTACTTGATTTGAAATAGAAATACCCATTTCTTCACCGACTTTGATTAGTTGAATATCCTGTCATCGTAAAAATAAAAAAAAGTAAAAGGAAATATTAGAGCTTAAAAAGCTTACACTTCCTTTGTGGCTGTACATAAAACTGTTCACGATTGAATATTTTTACTTCTCCAGACTCCAGTTGGACCTGTTAAATGACAAAGAAAATGAATTCAAGTCAAGTAATGCAAGATAACAAACATATTCTCTTCAATAAATAAAAATCTAATGATATAATAATTCATATGTAATTATGACAGATATTCTATTTGCATTTTAAAGACTTTACAGATTAAATTTTCATGACGTTGATAAATTCGTGATTGCTTCTAGTTACACGTTAAGAATAAAGGCATCCTCAGTGTTCAAAACCCAGCTAACACAAGCTGTTTATAAGAAACCTTTTGAGATTTCCGACAACTGTGAAGTGATATTAAATGAAGTGTTACATAAGTACTAGGTTTCTGGCTGAACACTTGACAACAGGCAAACTACCTACCTGACAGACTTCACATAAGGATATATATGGACTTATTTGTAATCATGATTCATAATATGAAGGATAATAGTTTGAAAGGATTACAGACAGCTCTATAAAAGATGAAGTCAACATTCAAAAACAATAACAGTGGGTGTAGTCTGTGACTCTATATGTTTCAGCTTTCCGCTAAATTTCAGTAGCAGCTCAGAAAAAGTGCACTAACTGATATAAACAGAATTATTATGTGTCATTCGACATACTGCATGCTACTCTTTGAGCCTCGAACACTGTCTCCCACACTTGCAGTAATGAAAAAAGAACACAATACTACCCAGGTCACAATTGGAATACAGGACGATGATTCAGTCAAAAAAGCAAGCCATATATTTGCTGAAGTCCTTGAGAAATTAAAAATTAGAGGTCTTAGGATATTCTTTTTACGTGTACTAGCACCTATCATTCTCGAAGCAAGGTACTTTTCTGGTCTGTTTGCGTTGTGCCACTGATATTATATGATGCGCGATGTAGAAGTTAAGCATATAGTGTCACCATTATTATTATTGCTTCCTTTAGCTCCTAGAGGAACATAGGGCTTCGGCCACAGAGTGTCAGGTCAAGAGGAAAAATCAGTCAATGAAACTGTGAAGAGGCATCGACTCAGATAGCTAAAACAACTCTCACGGATATCAAGGCGTTGCATTATTCGAACAGCAATAATAGTTGACCAAAGGATCGGGCAGGGAAAAATAGGGACCATCAAGTCAAAACCTGGTATCAATCTTTAGTCCTTAGATATTGGAGCTGAAGGTGCTAGGAATCAATGCCTAGAGACTTTTGGTGATATGGCTCGAAATCGTCGTCAGTGGCGAAGATGCATTCCCTCATGACAATCTCCTAAATCAATTAAATTACCGTGCTTCTCCATCTAATTAATCCTTCTCCTACACATTTCACTTTATTATGTTTAGCTTGAATTTTTGTCGACTTTTATGTAACAACTTCAACTGCCGCAATTCTGTGCAGAGTTCTACGTTAAATAGGCAGTTAATCGAGGCATAAAGTTGAATAAGTGAATTTTTATTGTAACATTATTTCACTTTATAAATCATAGGAGTCAACTTACTTCCCATTGTTCAGAAGTAGTACCTTCATATGTTCCTACATATTCTGCTCCATCATCCCAAAGAACCTTTACAACTGAACCTTTCGGTGGTGGTCCATCTTTGAACCAATCAATGTTCTAGAAATACAGATATAAAACAAAATCAATGAAAGTGAATATATATATATATATATATATATATATATATACGTATAATGAAATGGGGAGTACTTGTATGACGACATATACTGGTGATTGATGAGTACTTCCAGTTTTCAAATGGAACCAAAGCGGATTTTCATCTTGAACATTGTAATCTGTAAATTGCAAATCTGATTCTATGTATTATCAGTTCGCCTAATTATCCAGCCAGAACGCTGATTGTAAGCGCATGATTCAGTTCTCTAGACTGTCTAACCAAATACGCCAACTCCATTCGAGCGAAATGGTTGTAAATAGTGTTCACCTTAATCTTCGATCTGGATAGCGAGCAGTACTGCTTCACATGAGTGGTTTCCAATCAGTCGTATACATCATCATGCAATTTCACTGAACTGCTTTCATTTTATGCTATCAAAAAAATTAAGTACTATGGTCAGAATATTTCTGCTTCTCAACTTAAACCACGGCAGATTTTCACATCTAACTGTAATTTGCAAATTGGGAATTTGTAAAGAACTTACTGTCAAATATTCAGGAGGTGTATCAGATGAGAACGTTCCATCGGGGAAGGATATCCGACAGTAAAGAGGAGTTACTCTTCGAATAGCCACGCCAGGTGTAAATGTAGGGTTTCTATTTCTTTGAACCATTACGTGATCTCCTGGTGAAACAGAATCCTGATCGCGAAAACCAGGCTGTTTTATATAAAATAGATCAAATATCATCAAGTTATAATCAACACAATGTAGAGTATTTTAAGCATGCAATGTTTTAACAACCATTGGTCACACATATTCATACGGAAACGAGAAATATGCAGAGTTATTAAGCAGCATTTCTACAGATTGCACACTGGTCTATTCTAACATGATTTTTTCATTTTGGAAAATTTGTGACGAATGATTGATTTAGTTTCACGAGAGTTTATTCCCATGAAATAACTTCACAGTATGTATTTTTGATATGCAAGTGGAAAGTCATTAGTACAGCATATGTCAGGAATTTCAGAATATGAGGACAACCAGTTACTTTTAAAAACTGATACCACGGTAGATGTACTATTACTGCTCTTCTTTGGCTTCGTGATCTGCATTGTTATTTTGAGATGCAATATGTCCTTTTAACTTGACCTAAATCTATTCTCTCACTCCTTAATTGTTTCTTTTCAGATATATATTTCTATGACAAGTCCGTGTGTGATCAGATTGTTCTAAATGTGTTGCGCAAATACATTACACGATTGAGACAAATTACATCTTATTGCTTTGTCTAAATTCACAAACGGAACTAACTGCTTTAAAAACTCAAAAGTTGTTAACTGCACATACTAAAAGGGTTAGAAACGAATATGCAGGGAGTGAAAGAATAATTAACTGAAGAAGAATGAGGATTTAATAAATCTAGAAGATCACGAGGAATGAAAACATCGGCGCCATTGAGAACAACTGTGCAAGACATGTCACCGACAGTCTCTGGTCATTGATTTTTAATATCTTCAAGAATCTAGTCAGGCAGTCTGCACCTCACCAAATGGTTCAAACCGAAAGCCGAGGTCTTTATGAATTAGTGCCACGTTTTCGTCTCATCACCACTAATTCTATATCAGATAACATGGATCGTTGATTAAGGGGAAGCCTCGACATGCATAATTCATGTACCTAACCTGAATGCATAACATTGCTGGTTATGTAAAGTACATTGTTAGTCGGGCAATTAAGTTCCAGGTACTTATCAACAATCGGCTGGAAAGTTGGATAAAAGGTTGTCCTCTTCTTAGCAAGTGACAAGCTATGGCCTACGCAGGTGACGTCTTTAATGGATCGCCCAGTGGTACTGTCTATCAGTCCATTTCGGCGGACATCTATGAGTAGATCAGTGACTATGATAGGTATTGTAACGTCAGCAAGAAGGAAAATCCACTGAATAAGTTTGCGTAAACCTACGTTCAAACGGATGTATTTCCTATCAAATGTTTCAAAAGGTTTTCCATTCACAGCCTGTAAGTTAAAAAGAGCTTTCTTCTGTATATCTGCCTGTGAAGCAGGCAGGAAGCTGACTTTGACACCTGTGTCGACCAAGTACCAAATCTTGTTGACTATATAACGGATGTAAAGCAGGCGGCTACTGCCACAGGCGACGGTTGCCGCTAACGCGTCCCGTTGGGATAGTTTCCCAACAGCTTCGAGACATTGCCGAAATCACAAGGTTTTCTGAAACATTTCGCTTCCTGACCATTGGTATTGTGATACCAACATTAGTCAGGGATTTAGACCGACAACGTGGGCTCCGCCGTTGAGAGGAATTCGGATGGCTTCGGAATTGCAGGAATAACTTGACACAAGGAGTTGCTGGACGGAGTTTCATAACACTATCACGCAGTGTCCGTACTCGAGGTCTGTTCAGGAACTGAGCATATTTCAGTGACTGGCCTTTTCGTTATTTCTAGAATTTTATCGGCAGAAGTAGCTGAGTCGTCTATAATAACACCTTGGAGTGAAAGCAGATCTCAAAAATTATCTATTTCCTTATTTGAACACTTCCTTTTAAATGTTTCTCTCACATTAACCAGTATTCAATCTATTTCTAGATTAACAAATCATATTATATATTCTATAAGTTCTAATTAGTGTACATATGTTCATGCCTGTAAAAATGGCTGTTTTCTGTTCCAGAAATAAACAAGAACAGCCTATACTGACCGTGGTCATATGGATAAGAACAGCTCTCTGAAGAGTCATTAATGGAAATTATGTTGGTCGATAACTTCTTGAATTTTCGTTAGCTGGTTCACAGCCGACTAGTCACCTAACTGAACTCTGCGAAATAGTTCGTCAAAAAGCTGCCAATCCGTGAGGTCGTTTCTTTCTACGAGGGCTGCTTGGAACACCTTATACGAGTTACTAACTCGGGTCTTGACATATGTGCATTTGCTTAATTTCCGCGGCGGAGAGTGGATAACTGCAATAAGCTGTGAACGTCGGTCAGTGATCCCATGTTCAGTGAAATCGGACTCCGCTATCTGAAAACGTGATTCCACATTTTCTGGCCGAAATGGCAACAACTGAATAGTTTTGCTAGTTGGTAGAATACGGATGAGTTAAGGTGTATGGTTATTCATAGATATATATATTTCACAAATAGTAAAAGAACAAATACAAAATGGAACGAATTCACTGGATTTGTGTGCGTGTTTATCAAAGATGAAGTTCGCAGTAAGGCTCACTAGTTTAGAGACATTATTTATTATTTTATTGTTTTTGATTACAGCTTGATGCCACACTGTATTTTCAGTACAAGTATGGAATTTTCAGCATGGATATCGGTAGCCCAGATTTTGCAGGCCGACCATAGATATCGGGTGTGCGTCGGCAGGGGATCGAACCCCGGACCATGTGCATGGTCGGCGAGAGTCCTAACCACTGTGCCACCGACGCACATGCATAATGCATCAACCTAAACTGAAGTGAGATGAAAAAAATGGGTCAAAATTGTAACTTATTCATTTTCAAGTGTTCAAACTAGATAACCACAGAAAGCTAACGAGAAGATTGTGAAATAACCGGGTCTGGAATTGTAGCTGTCTGAAAAGAAGTTTACATAGACATTTACTGACTTAAAGAAAGCATCTATGGATTGGAGATAAACGACATGTTGCTAGACAATGCATAAGAATACATTAGAATGAATGTATCCTAATACTAGTTCGCTCATAATCTTGTCTTTTGAATAAATTGGCAGCATACCCTTTAACGTCAGTCCATCTATGTTATAGTGTAATGTACGAACGGTTTACTTTCGATTATCAAAATATGTTATGTGGATCAAATAATAAGTGATCTACTGATCCTGTCTTAGTCAGTGTAATAAGCAATTGAATTAAGTATTGAGTTTAAAAAATCTTACGTGATTATAATTAGTTGGATGTTTCCAGCAAGCAATGTAAAAGAAACGCGGATACACATCCGTACCAATGACTATGCCAGCCATCTGAGCACAAGTCACATGAAATCTAGCAGAACAACCATCATACCAACATGGAGCTAATGGGAGAAATCCTCTTCCTGGTAGTCCACAAACAGCGCATTTAGAAGAAAGTAATGTAGCAATTCTTTCAGATTTCGTAGTAATATCTGTTTTTCGATGATGATAATCATTATCATCACCACTACTAAGTAGATCATTGTTATTCCGGTTTGAGAGTTTCAAACTACCAATACTGGGATTTGTGGGAACGGTTTGACTGCGGCATAACTTTCGCGATAAACTACTAATTACACAAGAGGAAAGAATAATGGGATAAAAAGAAATAAGTGAATTTACATAGATGATTCTGTTTGTACATATAAGGGAAGTGGAAATCAGAACTGCGATGACGTACTTTCATATCATTGTGATGATAATCGTAATTACTATAAGCATTACCGATATTTTAACAACAGGAATGATAACAATAGCAGATTTATTAAAAACGTATTTATAGAAAGTTTAGAATTCTCAGTGTATTTCGTTGAGAGATGTTTAATCATCGCATAGAATCTTCAATTTAAAAAACAATAATCCACCATATATCACCTAACCCAATAGTGCTCTATATGAAGCATGCTCAATGGACACAGTTACACCAGAATGGACACTTCAGTAGTGAAAATGATCCGGATCTGGGAGACATTAAAGAAATAAAAGCATATGTTTCACTGTGAACTATCTTCAACCACATCACCAACCATTGACTCTGAGCACCCTGAAGACCTCAGATTGTAAACTTGTCTTCCCAAGTATTTCAAAACAACAGTCTGGATTCGTGGATCAATATCGTGATTTGTTTTAACCACCTTAAACTCTTTTCCCGCCTATTCTTGATTCAAAGTTAACACTTTTCATCGAGGGAGGTGAAGACTCAGTACGCATACTGCTTATCTACCACCGTCTGAGGGAGGTCGAATTTCACAGTGGTAAAGTAGGAGAAACAGCAAACTACTGTACAACAGACAAGCCACTAGGTGAAACGTGAGTATATTCGGTAACCTCGCCAACTGCAAACGTGATTTTAGTCTATATGGGTGATACCTCGTCATCAGCCGATTCAAAAGAATTTAAACTTTGTAAATCAATCAAGTGAAGCACTCGTTTCCTGATCTTTAAACTAAGAGTGTATCAAATCAGTGTTTCAAACCAATCATCTATGGCAACTTATTGAGGATAGATTCGAGTCTAGCATGGTATCAGGGCGAAACATTTGGTATACACCGTAACAACAAACGCAAATTATTAGTTAACTGCTTATCAGCTACGTTAAAACGTCTAATAAATTAGCTCTACAGGATTTCATCATGAGCTTACATCGGATAGAGAACCAGTGGCAAACGTGGGAGTACTGAACAACTGTTTCATCTCAGTTTGGGACTATTCAACAGTACGCACCCACCGGGGTTAGACTCAAGTCAAATTTAACTGAAACTTCTAATCTTCCAATCAACATACAGAAACTGAAAGTGCCATATAGTCACAGCAAACATTCAGGCATCTTCACAGAAAACAGTAATGTCAAGTGGGCAACATCAAAAAGTAAAAATAACAACGATAAGTGTAAAATTAAACTCACCTGGCTTTGTTTGGGATGTATACTCCACTTTCTTGGGAAGTTTGACGGCATTCCCATGAACCATCGCCATAGCATTCATCATAACTATTGCTGTCATGTGGTCTTTTATGTACTAACTTTTTGGCTAAATTATTTAAATTTGCAAAACGAGAAGAATCTGACTGGTGCATTTCCACAGGAGAGTTGTTTTCACAAGTTGCATAACGATCATTTCTCACATTATAATACAGTTCAGCTGAATTAATAGCTGTTTTTATTGAATCTTCAGAAATGAATGCCAATCTTTGAGGTACATCTTTGAAATGGCAACCGGGAGTAGCCAAAGCGCATATCACATGGGCCCAGTATGGTCGTCCCGTATAGCTATTGTTTATGTTCATCAAAGCTTTCATAGCTCCACCACGCATATAACAAAACACACACGTCTGAAAAGCAATTAAAACAGTGGGTATATATATATATATATATCAGGTGGCCTTTCAGCTTCCCTAGATTTCATTATTTTTTGTTTTTTTCTTTCTGCACGTCTTTTCTCAGATATTTATTTATTGCTCATTGATATAATCCTAAAAATTATGGTCGAGATTTTTAAAAACGTGTTCGTAGAAACACAACTGTTTTAGATAGTTGCTCAGCCTCGGTTATAACTGCATTATCGCCCTATCATACAGTAACAACCACTAGCTCACAAAACAGCTCGAGTGCAGTTCTCACTCCTGTGATACAGGTGAAAGATGTTCTATTGGGAAGCTCTGATTTCTGTAAATTAAATCGCCTTGTGAGAGATATCCAGAGGCAAGTAAGTGAATTTCAGGAAAAATTAGGTCAGTTCGGTGGCATGACACTGCCAATCTCAAATATCAAGGAGAGCCGATCTGATATTGACCGGGTTAAATCTTTACTGGATGTTACTCAAAACAAGCTTGAGGATTTAGACCCAATAGCTTACCTTTTAAATAAACATCCTAAAATTTCGCCGGACAACCTAAATAAAGCGGAAAATCTCATTGACTGCTTGGCTGCCGAAGTGATGAAGCGTATTGCCTCTTCTCATCAGGCTACAGTTTACAATATCCTAGACTCAATGCCTCTGAAGACTATAAAAACAATTCTGTATTGGTGTGACATGACTAGTGTTCCATATGAATGCAAAAGACTTCGTAAAAGTCGACCCAGTCTGATTTTCCCATCATTTTTAAGTTCAGTAATTCTCTTGATGCTAGTAAGTTTACTAAATTTCAAGATCATTTTAGACTACATAGCAGTTGTATGACTGTAACTGTAGCTCAGGACAAAACACCGTGTCAACGCAGAATAATGCGCAGTAATAATCTGGTTACCTCCTCTGGCCTAAATTTACCGAAAGTGAGTCGTCTACCGTAACAGTCACCTAGTACTGACAGTAGCATTCAGTGAACTACACAACAACCACGCCTGCCAATGGAACTAGGAACTGATTAAGATATCACCATCCCTGTAAACAAACCTTCACTGAAAGGTGTCAAAAGAGGTGGTCTTCAGCATACTCCGTCCTGTAGAAACTTAGATCCCAAAACCCCTAAGGTCCTACAACCGAAGCACCTTTCCCCACAATAAAAACAACACCTAGACGCGTACCGGTATGGCGAATAGCAGATTTATGGGTAGACCTTACAATGCCATACCCTTTAATCCACAACCCAGCCCCGACAACTTCTACCCGTATATCCAGGAACACAGTAAATTTTTTAGGTGCCCCGAATCACTGGTACGATCCATGGCACTCGAGACCACCACGTCGCACTCTAACCCCGATGTATGGACACTCATTCCGACCTCTTTCTCATTCATAAACTCTTTCGGTGCTGACGCACAAATAGAATTAGGTTATGGTAGCATTTTGAGTCAGTTTGTAGTATGCCGTGACTAATGCACGATATTACTAACTGATGCACGTTCCTTAATCAATAAGATATCTGAACCAGGACATTAATATTAGTTGCCAAGTCTAATGTAGTCCTGATCACTGAAACATGGTGCTCATCCTCTATACTTGATGTGCATATAGGTATAGATGATTACACTGTACACCGTGCAAATAGAGATTGCAAGCGTGGTGGCGGATGTCTCATATATATACACAACTCATTCGTAGTCAGTAAGGTGGAAGATGAAATACTGAATCAGGTACCTGATTCACTCTGGATAGTCTTACATGGAGATAAGTACAGACTTCTCATAGGCTGTGTTTATCGAGCACCAAGCTCAACCAAAGAAACTGATGCGTTATTAGCTAATTCGTTTGCACACGCCCACCCGTCTAATACTAATTACAAAATAATTGCAGGGGACTTCAATCTTCCGGAAGTCAATTGGTTAAGCAGTTCCGGCCCCCAACGCTTTGACGAATTACTTCCCACTATCGATTGTTACGGAGGGCAACAACACGTCCAGACACCTACCCGTGGTGACAACATGTTGCACTTTGTGTTTTGTCATGACACAATCCTAGTCTTTACCTATGTTGGTAACAGATTTTCCAGTAGTGACCATAGAATGGCACTCTTCTCTATGCCTTTCTCACCACTAAATACAGGGAACAAACAACATTCAAGGAGTATGATATGCCGTAGTTACAAACATACAGACTGGGATTTAGTCCAAGAACTCATTCGACTCTGTCATTGGGATGACTGTTTTACCACTGACACCCAGGAGGCTGCAGTGTCCCTATTTTACAGGAATATTACCCTTTGTTTAGATACTGTTGCTCCCAAAACCTCGCCTAGTCAACTAGCTCACTAGTTTTCTAGACGGTCACAAGCCCAAGTAAAGAGGGAGGGTTGGGCGTGGGGCTGGCAACCCCACATCACTAAATATTCCAAGCCGCTAGAGGAACTTCAGCACTCAGAAATATATCAAAAGTACAAAAACTTCAAATACCAATCTTATTCTTCGCTCAAATCAGAGAGGCGAAATGCCGTGTGCTTGTGAAAGCCTTTGGGAAGCCAGTCAGAAGATGTGTCTTCTTGATTGGACACCCGTCAGTAACCAGTGTGATGTGTCTCGTCCTATCTTCGGTGTAGACTGAATTCTATCAGTCTACCATCTGGTACCGACAGATGTGTCTTCTCTCGATGAAAGCAAGAGTAAAAATGGGTACGTGGAATTTCTGTATAATGTACGAGACTGGGGAGGCTGCCCAGGTAGCCAAAGAGATGTGAAGATACGGCTTAGAAGTAATGGGTATCTGCGAAAGCTCCACCACGCATACATTATTTATTTATTTAAACGCAGAAAAAAACTTGGTACAATATGGTACCAAGAAAGATGCGCCACACAATAATAATAAAACAACATAGATTAAAAGTAAAAATATAAGTAGAAAACGGATAAAGAACTTCATCTGGAAGGAAAACAGTCATTTTAAACAAGTTCAAACAGTATTCGTTACCTATCATCAGGAAGGGAAGAAAGAAGGAAATTGCAACACGTTCACCATTGATGACTCGCGATTCTTAGCCATATCCGATAACGTTTCGAGCCATCGATTCGAGCTATCTCGCGGACCCCAACCAGGGAGTCGTGATGCACCAACCGATGCTAATCTAGCACAAAAATCCTTTATCCCACAACGCCACGTCATGGACTGACCACCCCTCCAACTTTTCCATCCCGTCACAGGGCTGGCGAACACAGACCTGTACGGAAGCCTCTGGGATGACATTCTCAGCACATGTTGAAGCCACCGTAGCCGGTGTTTCCAGATGACGACACTCAGTGAATGGTGATCTCCACTGTGTTCAAACACACGCCGCCGAACCTCAGAATTACTCACGCGATGATGCCATCGAACGCAAGCAATCCTGCGGAGACAGCGATGATCGAACACGCAGAGTCGCCTCACATCCCCAGCTCGGAGAGGCCAGGTTTCACAGGCGTAGAGCAAGACAGCCCACACCGAAGCATTGTATACCAGACCTTTGACAGCCAGGCTAACGTCGCAATGGCGCCAGAGGTGGCCCAAGTTTATGTATGCTACCCTAGCCTTCATTATACGGTTGGAAATCTCATCCGTCACCCCTCCGCCAGCACTCACACAACTACCCAGGTACACAAACTTATCAACAACTTCAAGCGGTTCACTCGCAAGAGTGAGTGCACGTACAGGCTCCTGCCAATCTTGTAACAGTACTTTGCACTTAGACGGTGCAAAGCACATACCATACTTAAAGACACTGATCGCCAACTGATTAAGTGCGATTTGGGCAGCCTGCATGCTATCGCACAGTAAGACGATATCGTCTGCATACTCGAGGTCGAAAAGTCTATCTCCAGGTAGCAGATCTACACCACCTTCACGCACATCCTTCAGAGCTGACTCCAGAATGTCATCGATGGCAAAGTTAAAGAGAAATGGAGAGATTGGGCAACCCTGTCTAACCCCACTGTTGGTTGGAAACAATAATGATAGTTGGTTGTATGCCCTCACTCTACCTGAGGTGTTTCTGTATAGGGCTTTCAAGATGTTAACAAATCTCTCAGTTACACCTCTCTCTAACAGACAGTTCCAGAGCACAGTTTTGTCCAACGAATCGAAGGCAGCCCTAATATCAAGAAACACAACGATCGTTGGCCTGCAATACGTGTGGCGGCGTTCCAGCATCTGACGAAGGGTGAACACATGATCAATGCATCCACGACCTGAACGAAACCCAGCCTGCTCTTCGCGAATGAATCCTTCACGTATTTTACACAGCCTGCGAAGCAAGACAGCAGCCAATAATTTAGACGCGACTGGTAGCAGACTGATACCCCTATGAATGTCACACGAATTACTTCGACCCTATTTAAAGATGGGGACGATAATGGCTTCGTTCCACATTGATGGTACACTCTCAGTTTCCCATATCTTCCTGAACAACCCAGTTAGAGCCATTGTGAGTCTCGCCACCATCTTTAAAAAGAGCCGGGGGTAAATTGTCTGGGCCGGGCGCCTTATGGCGTTTTAACACCTGGAGTTCCTCACGAACCTCCGCTTCGCTGGGTGGGTCGGTATTAACCGACCAAGGAGCACTGGGGCTAATGACAGCAGACATTGAAGATGGTGGCCAGCTAAACTGTTTCCCGAAGTGCTCTGCCCAGTGTTCCAGGCGTCTTTTCAAACTGGTAATTGGCGTGCCATCTGCCTCACAGACCGTCTCGCTGACACCTTGTTTCTTGCTGCCGGTGGCTCGAATGAGTTGGAACAGCTTCCGACTGTTGCCAGATGCAGCAGCTGACTCCATCTCACCCGCACGTTCTGACCACCAGGCCTCGCGGTCCTTACGTAAACACTTTCTTATCTTGCGCGTCAGCGCCTTTCGCTTATTGCTGTATTCGCTGCCAGCCGGAATGGACCGGCGTTCATCCAGGAGTTGCAAGGAACTCGCAGAAACCCAGTGGTTTTTGGCGGAGCATTCTTTCAAGCCGCAAGCGGCTACACTAGCTCTTTGCATGGCACCTTGCAGATGGAGCCAATGATCATCTATACTACTTGGGGGGTTGCTGGCAGGCATTGATTGTAACTCATTCTGATATTTCAAACAAGTAGCAGGTGCTACTAGTTTGCTCACATCGACGTTTAGACGACGCCTTTTATGAACCTCACCAAATCGCAAAACGAACTTGGCACACACTAACGCATGATCGGAGTCCAGGAATGTGCTCCAGAAGGAGCGACAGTCTTGTATGCATCCTCGCCACCGGAAACTGACTGCAATGTGATCGATCTGAGTCCAAGCTTGGTTCGCAGAGGGAGGACGCCAGGTAGCGCTACGGCGATGGTTGTGCCGGAAGTTGGTGCTGGCCAGAAATAGGTTGCGATCCGCGCAAAGCTGCAGAAGACGGTCCCCATTATCTGACCTGCGACCATGTAGTCCCCATTGACCACCTAGACGATTCTCCTCTGAGCTCAGACGCCCGACCTGTGCATTCAAGTCCCCAGCCAGCACTACGATATCCCTCCGACTCGCCTGTCTCAAGAGATCGCTAAGTTGGCGGTAGAACTTGTCCTTCATTGCATCCGGGCTGCAATCCGTTGGTGCATAGGCAGAGACAACAAATAGACACCGCCTATCTGGTCTACTACTCCTTACTTTCGTATAACCTTCCAGCCTCACAGCACATAAACGACTGTTAATGGAAATCCAGTCGAGCAGTGCAGCTTCGGCTCTAGCGCTCAGTGCGACGCCGACACCAGCTACGCCGGATGCCGACGCCACAGGGTCTCCGGACAAGCGCAGGTGGTACATTATACTAGAACTTCCAGATGGAGAGGATAATCGAAGCACTTCACTGGGATCTTGAATGCGAGTCTCCGAAATGCAGCAGACATCGATAGCGAGGCTTTCTAACGTTCTTACCAACCCTGCCTGTTGTCCGATTTGCATCAGCCTCCGAACATTGTAGGTGGCCAGCTTGAACGCGGCACGCGGTTTCAGGATATCTGTGTTAGATGTCACATTGGGGACAGCCATTTTGAGGGTTACTCACTAACATCTCGAAACCACACAGATAGGCTAGGAATCCAAACAAAGGCGAAAGGCTGACGAAGGTTAATAAGTCAAGGTGAGCAAAGGTAAAATACAGGAAACTAAATATAAAAATAAAATTAAGGTTGGAAGGGCATAAGTTGCTTGATTTATCATCATTTCTTGGAATCATTTTTACGAGCACGCGGTGAGTTTCAATAATAGTTTGTCGCTTCATTTCATTTATTGTGTGAGGGCTGAGATACTGCCCGGGCGCCCAGACCGAAGCAGGTGGTTTTCTTAAGGGAACACCCCCCGAGCCTTTGACTTGGAATCTAATCCGCAAGGCAGCGGAGCAGCGTCAGGAGCTGCGTTCCCGTGGTTGCCGGTGACCCATATGGGTTCGTACGCCATTTGGTCCGATTGGATTCTGGAGCCCATGTACCCCATGGTAACTGCTTTTAGTCTAACCGCTATCCAAACAACCTTCCTGGCATGGTAGGACCTGCATGGACATGAGTCCCAGCCAGTTTAGCTTGTTGGGTCACTGCGTCATTCAAGCCCGACCACCACGGCAAGGTAGCATTTATCGGCCGGGTACTTTTTTTTATCATGTGAAATAAGGTTATTCATACTGATAAAACTCCAAACCTCCTTCAATTAGTTCGCGTCTGATTATTCCAAGTCAAACCACCTTTGTTGTGCAGCCGCACAGAGCTACTCGCTTTTATGTTTAGAGTAACATAAAGCATATTAACAATATCAACTTACAGGTTTGCGATCTGCTTTGCAAGCATCACAAAGCCAAGGAATTTTCTGTGTTACACGACTGTCTTCATTTAAAAGGGTTTCATCTTTGATACCATAGCATCTAGTATGTACTGTTAGGGAACAATGAACGCATTTAACTATGCGGCTTTTCACTACTTGTGGAAATTGTACAGAAGGACTGTGAAAGTCATGATACGCAACCTCAGGCAGGTGTGGATCTGAGTACATAGGCAAATTTTCATCTCCATGTTCAGTGGATAAAAGTTTGGAAATATGCTGGAAAGAGTGAAAAACATGATGACTTTTGAAACGAAGTTAAAATTGATGGATAATGGAAGGTATTTCATCAAGACTTAATGTGTAAAAATTTGCAATAAACTGAGAATCGATTTGTTGAAATTGCTTTTTCGTATCCATACTTTTCAACTTAATGATATACATTTGAGATCACACCGCAGTTATCTTTTAATGCTCACTTAGAATAAACTAGCAACTAATATAGTTAATAACGCAACTTAGTTGGTTCACACAGATAGGCTCTGAACTACACCTGATGAGTGGGGCTTAGAATACCACCGATGGGCTGGAACAAATTAAATGCAGTGAAAATAACCTGCACCCTAACCCAACTTTTGCAAGTCTATGCTTTATGTTAATAAAACATATCTCCGCGACCAATTAAACAATGAGTCTTATGAATTAAGTAGTCAAAGAACAATGATTGTCGTGTTTAAGAGTCTAAGTATTACCAATGGATGAAAGAAGTACTTTGGAGAAAGCATGAATATACATCAAACTAGTCGATGCCAACGAACCACAGGTTATAATTCGCCTGTGAAATTTTTTTCGACCGAACTTTTAGTCTGGCTAACATAGTTGACATTTAAAGTGAACTACAATGTAGTCCTTCGGCTTTCACCGCATTCAGTGATTTTGACTGCTACTTCGCTAAAACACATAACAGTTTTTAAATAAGTTTTAAAAACATCTTCGGCTACCAGGAATTTATGTGGAAATATACAGTTTTGTTTACCTGAGGAGTCCACAAAAATGAGCAAATGGCACAATATGGTTTATGGCTACCAATAAAGTTATTGAAAGTTCGTTCGTTCTGTTCATTAGCCGGATTACCACACCACAAAGGATGCAAATGAGGATTGGCAGCAATATGATAAGGAAGTCTGGCTTCTTTAAACTCTAAAAAGGTGAAGCGTTATAATTAATTAGGCGAAAAAGCTACGCAACGCAAAAGATTTGGCTGAAGCATATATGAAGGTAGCTCGAGTTTGTCAGATTGCATTAAGTAAGTAACATATGTCCCAACAATGATTCTTATTCATAATTCTAAGATATGTCCTGTTAGTGTTTTCAAAACTGCAACTGGCTGATTATTAGAGAAGTTTACCGTAGGACGTTGCATCCAGTAGATAGTCAAACAAATGAAAGAACAATCAATGAGTTCAGGATTCCCCTGAAAAGTTAAGTATACATGTAGGTCCGAATAATAGGAAATGACAAATTTATATATGTCCAAACCAAGTTCACTTTTAACAGTTTGAAGACATTTGGGCATTGGGTATATGATATTCATCATAATGAAGGTTTTTTGTATTTCCCAATGAATGAAAAACAAAACGATATTGTTTTTACTGACGTTTGTCTATATAATGCTAATAGCTTTATCAAAGTATTATTAAACCGGAATTTACGGAATAGACCTCAGTCAAGTTAAAAGGACATATTGAAAGTCAAATTAACAATGAAGATCACTAAACCAAATATCAAAGGTAATAGAATTCAACAAAGTGAAACTAAATACAAAAACTCCTTCAAGAAATGAAACCCAAAATTGGAAATTCTCTCTGGTTTAAACTAAAACCAAAATCTTATGTACCTTTAAGATTCTACGGTCAACCAAATATGCATAAACCCACAGTTCCATTAAGACCAGTAATAGATTCCATGAACTCACCGGCAAACAAAATCTCTAAATACTTACTCTCGATACTACAACCACTACAAAAGGACACTCAAAATATTGTGAGAAATTCATATGATTTCAAATCCCAAATAGAAAACCGAGAAATTGATAAAGAAGACGTTATGGTAAACCATGATATTATTTCATCATATACTACTATCCCTATTACCGAAAGTCTTGATATCATCTCCAGTCTATCACAAAGATGTCTACTGGACACCAGTGAAACAATGAAGAGCTTGAAATTGTCTAGAAAATAATTATTCTACATCTAAAGGGAGTTTATATAGACAGACAAATGGTGTTGCTATGGGTTCACCAGTCTCCCCTGTAGTCGCTGACCTTTTCATGAATAGATTCGAAAATAACATCTTTTCAAGCACACTCACTCCTAAAATATGGTTAAGATATGTAGATGATACTTTTGTAGTGCTAAAACGAGATCTATACAATTCATTCCTGGAGAAAATAAACTGTGTATCTCACAGAATCGGAAGCAGAATCAGACGTCGGTGAACTACCATTTCTAGACTGCCTAGTTAAGAGGAGAGAAAACGGATATTTTAGTATATCCGTATTCCGGAAGAAAACCCACTCCAATATATATTTAGACTTCAAATCATCACAACCCATCAGCGCAAAGATTTCAGTTGTCTTCTTAGACGAGCACACTCTCTGATAACGGATGAGAAAGAAAAGGAAGAAGAAATATCAAACAATACTGAAACTCTCAAGCAAAACAGCTACCCAAGGAACTTCATAAACGAAATCAACACAGACATTAAGCATGGCCGAAAACGCATTCCGAAAACATGGACCTCAACAGTCGTCATTCCTTATAGAGTAGAGACGTCAGACGATATCAGAAGAGCACTCAATCAGCTCGACATTAGAGTTTTCTTCAAAACATCAGACATTCTACGAAACAACCTTGTCCATATAAAAGACCAAATCCCTAAAGATTCTCTATCTAGTTGTGTCTATAAAATAAAGTGCTTGGAATGTGATGCGATATACATCGGACAAACATCAAGAGAAATCAAAATCAGAAGAAATGAACACCATAGAGTATCTATTTGACCACCGAGAAATCCGGTTGAACTAGAAAAACTTGAAAAATCATCAGCCATAGCTCTACATACTATAGAATCAGGCCACAAAATTGATTTCGATAATATTGAAATAATCCAGAAAAACAAAGAACATCTAATATCAGAAGCACTTCATATCAAGTGGAATCCAAATTGTCTGAACAGCAATGATGGACTAAAACAGAATCTGACCTGGTTACAACACCTCCATCCCCTCCCCCATGAAGTGTCAAAATCAACACTAATGTGATAAGCAAGTTCATCATGTAAACACACACTACTTTTATAATGTCACACACTGATCAAATCCAACAATCTATACTTGGCTTTGTCATCTATACCGATTGACCAACTTGACAATGAAAAATGACCCCACACTGACGAACGATGATCAAGTTAGTGAACTTTGTTTTGATATCATAACAGATGTACTATTTCCTTTGATATTTGGTTTAGTGGTGTTCATTGTTATTTTGACTTTAAATATGTCCTTTTAACTTGACTGAGGTATATTTTCTCACCTGTTAACTCTTCGTTATATATATATATATATATATATATATGCTGAGATTTTGTAAATTCCGGTTTAATAATACTTTGATAAAGCTTTTAGCATTATATAGACAAACGTCAGTAAAAACAATATCGTTTTGTTTTTCATTCATTGGAAAATACAAAAAACCTTCATTATAATTAACAAATATATATATATATATCCTAATACCTAAAAATCGTTCAGATGAGATACACAGAATAAAGGTTTCTTAAACTCGTAATTCAAATCTTATTTGTGAAAACATCTAAACAACTGACTTGCTTACAACTGCATAAATAGTAGTGAAGATTCTTACACTCACACTTATTGACAAAGACCATGAATAAAATTCTAAAGCAGATGAATGCCAAGCATTACAAAAGTTATGGATTCGTGACTTGGAGGTCCAGTAATTGTAACAAGGCGAGAGGAGCCCATGGGTGGATTGAATAAGTGTTTAAGAATAGTGGTGAAAAAGTTTAACCAGACATAAAAATACTAGAGTTCATGAAAACACGATGAATTCCTAGGAAGTAACTGTTGATAATCATTCTTTTACTATTGATAACCACAAGCAGACAAATTTGATGAGTGAAGTTTGCGGTTGTATGGTAGATTATACTCCAGAACTACACACCTCGAAAAACCAGTGAGAGGCGCACAGGCAGATCGATGTCGGGAATTCATTGCATCAAATTGTTATGCTTCGTAAATAAACACTGAATAAGAGAATAGAAAAAGGATGATACTGCAATAAACAAACAGGTGCAACATAGAGAACTAAGTGGAGACTTGTGAAGATTATCCAGATCTGGGAGACATAAAGAAATAAAAGCATATGTTTCACTGTGAACGATATTCAGCCACATCACCAACCATTGATTCTTACCACCCTGAAGACCTCAGACTGTAAACCTGTCTTCCCAAGTATTTCAAACCAACAGTCTGGATTCGTGGATCAATATCGTGATTTGTTTTAACCAACTTAAACTCTTTTCCCACCTATTCTCGATTCAAAGTTAACACTTTTCATCGAGGGAGGTGAAGACTCAGTACGCGTACTGCTTGTTTACCACCACCAGTGAGACTTCAAAACCTTATTGATGGAGATTACCTTACTTACCTAAATTCACTGTTATTTATCATCTTGCTCCAAATAACACTAGTTGCGTGAAAATAGATGATGAACACACTCTAATCCTTCCATATCACCTAATTTTAGCAGCTCTGTTAGCTATAAAGGACAAAACAAACTTCTGCACGGCAGGCGAACTCATCTGACGGATAAGTGGGCACTACATCTGCGCCAAAGATGATCGTAGTCGTAAAGTACCAAACTAGCGATCTACATCTGTGATGAAATTTCGTCAATAACCGATACACTAGGAGTGATGCAGCTTGCAAAATAAGTGACGTGGTTGGCAGATTCAATTACATCACTCTCTAACTTTAAATGTTAACATCGAATACGTAGTATGCTACATTGAACATGAAAATAGCTCACAATCAGATTTCCAATGGGTGTTCATACGACTGAGAATTTTTTAGGTGTCTTACCACTAAAACATTTTCTTGGTAGCATCCAGCGAAGATTGAAATTTGAGATCAAACAGTTACACTGACCTACTCTTAACGCACACCACTGGTTGTCCTCAAAACAAACGGTGATCTTCCATAAAGTCACACAGGATTGTACAAATTAAAGTATGTCTTTTATCACATATGTCATCGATCTCTTCACAGACAGACACTTCTACGACATATCTCCATTCACAGATTCAAATGAATCCTCTAAGTCAAGAAATTTTTATTTAGAGCACAAACTTGGTGCAGTATAGGCACCAAGAAGATGCGCCAAACAACCATAATAAAAAGCCACAATATATAAGGAAAGTAGGGAGAGAATGAGTAAGTGACTTCATCTAGAAAGATAGTAAGCATATTTGACAAGATCAAACAACATTCGTCATATTACTGTTAGAGAGGGAAGAAAGAAGGGAAGTGTAGCACGCTCGGAAGTGATTGCGATTCTTGGCAATATCTGTTGACGCTTCGAAATGCCAATTTAAAGTATCCTTTGGACCCCAACAAGGGAGTCGTGATGTACCAATGGATGCTAACCTAATACAAACATTCAACCCCAGAACTAGTGAACAGAGGCCGGTACGAAAGCCCCTGGGGTGACATTCTTAGCACATGTCCGAGCCAACTGAGCAAGTATTTTCGGATTATGAAACGCAATAAGTGGTCTGCACTGTGTCCAGACACGCTGCCAAACTTCAGGATTACTCACACGGTGATGCTATCGAACGCAAGCATTTCTACAGCGACAGCAAGGATCATGCCTGCCTTCCCAGGTGAACTCTGACTCGTAAATAAGCAGACAGCTTCCGAATCTCTTAAGCGCTCAGCCTATCTTACAAAAAGATTTGACAAGCCACTTCATTACACAATAGATAAACCTTTAACCTAGTGTACGCAATTTCTGAGTACAATATTTTGCTAACTCAGTTTTAGTTTCAACAAATTCTTTTATGGCTCAATGTCTGACATGTATAGGTATCTGTTGCGTCCACTACTTCTTGAAATAATTAAACGAAGAGTCAACCTATTCAGTTTTTTAGTTTTATGCATTTAAAAGACAGATGAAAATTTGTAAAATGAAATCTCAACAAGTACTCACGTTTAGAAGAATACCGCAAGTCAATCAGGTTAAGATCACCTGGTCTGGGGAGTTTTAACTTGAACGACGGACGTTCGACTGGAGCAGAACTGCCACTTGCAACCCCACGTAAGTCAGCCTCTAGGGATTTGGCATCATCTACAAAGATAGACAAGCTTTAGTAAACTGACCTGGATGAATTGTGTCTTCTGAAAGACGGTTTGTATCTTTAATCACGTAAGCGTCAAGAGGATGAGGTCGTGGGTTTTTCCCAATTTTCCAATCATCAAATAGCTCTGGTTGAAATCTTCGCACAAACGGGTCCATGCATATTTTCACTGTGTCATCCCAACATTTGCAAATTTTGGCATGTTTTCCATATTCTACCCATCTAGCGAGCGCAAAGTTTGTTGCTTCTGCTATGTTTAGACCCGTATTAAACCCAGAATGGTAGGCATATGGAAAAGTAATCATGAATTCACCTTCATGTTGTAAAATCTAGGTGAGAATTAGGTAAAGATGTATCTAACTTTTCTAGTCGGAATGCCGGCTTGTAAAAGGACAGTAGGGCTGATTAAGACACATTTATGTCTTAGGAAGCAATTGCATCTAAGGAATTCTGATCGAAAGTATTCTGGAAAAACATTAGCTTGCAAAAACAATTACCAGAAACAAATGCTTCAAATTTGCGCGCAAAAGCTGGTGGTATGACGTACCACCATTTAGGGAGTCCGTAGTGAAGATAATTTATAGAGTACAAATCTACATCTTCAACGTGCCAAGGAAAGGTAGAACTCCACATTCCATAATACAAATAAGGTGTATTTACTCCTGGTATTTGTACACCCTCTTCTCGAAACACACGGCTTAGAATTGAATCAAGTTTAGAAATATTCCAAATATTCAGTTCATCATCCATCAAAGTTCCGTCAACATTTGCACCATACAACGGACGACTGGAGATGATAGATGACCAGTACATTCTTTCAAGATGATCAAAATCCCTGAAACGTGGGGTACAGTGGGCTTTAGATAATGCCAAACTCTTGAAGTTATTGAAATTAAGACTTTTTCTAGGAGAGATATCCTAAAAACACTGCTGAATTGGAAATATGGACAGACCTGCAAATATATACCTCGACTACCGTGCGAAGTTTGATATATTGGCTTCTCGACAATATATTCACCGATATCATCATATCCCTTACGTCGGCAGGTCCAAGTAGATGGCGGTATTACTTTGCAAATACCTATGTGATGAGCTCCGCGGGATTCTATCGCTGAAATACACTTGCTAAAGTTCTCGAATTCACCAGCTGTTGGCCTATAAACGGGTATTTCCGGGACGGTTGATATGTTAAGCGTCTAATTTTTATGATTTATGTTTACTCATTTACCTCCAGCTTATCAATGATGGGAGATGTTGACAAACCTTGCTCCCCACCCATCCTCAAGGTTGAATTTAAGTCAAAGTTAGCGGCCTTTCAGTAACGTGAATCAGCTTTTGATTTGGCTGAACTTATTCGTCAAGTTGTTTGAAATTTCGCTTGGTAAATTTGTTTGTGAATAAGTTTTAATAAAATTGTGTTATATGTTTTCTGGATTGGTAAAAATCCTCATTTCCTGACTAGTCATGTTGCTCTCCACATCATGGGATACGACTGCGGCAAACTCTTAGCATACTGCTTGCAATGACAAGTGTTTCAGGCGGACTGTATGAAATGGTCCTTCTCAGAATCCGTTCCACCCGTAAAGTGTTCTGAACTTGTTTCTTTGCATTTAACGTGGGCTTTTTGACATGATTATTTTTGTATGCTTACTGAATGTGAAGTATTCTTCCTCAGCATTAGATAAAATTATACAAAATTTATTTATTGCAGTGCGAATACTACGTTTATCCAATATTCGCTTTCCAATGTCGTTTTTGCGAGCTAGTATAGACCAATTTGAATTTTTTGTGCTCGCCTCTTGATTGTGAGGTATGGGTTCCTGATCTTCGGTAAACTTCTGCGTAGCTCGTTCCGCCACTCGACTGTTGTAGCTTTGGTTGACTCCAAAAGGAGTAGTGCTGGGATTAATTATATGTGGTTTGTAGTATGAGGTATGCTAAGATTGTTACTACTGTGAATGGAGTTGATCCTTTCACCAGTTAGTCCTCCGGTATCGTCATCACAGGAAAAGAGATAATAATAGTAATGATAGATATAATTAGTGAAGTTATTCAGACTAACCGACAGAAAACGAAATAAAGAAAACGAAACAACAGTCAGCTGATTAAATTTGAAGAATACTATGAATAATATATATCGGTAATTATATTATATTACATATATTTATTCTTATCTACGTAGGACACACCAGTTGTACAGGCATGGATAAGTATTATTTACATTACAAGAATTTGATTTATGGTGAAGTTACAAGGTTGCTGTCCTCTCTGACATTAGTTAGTGAGTACAATCTGACAGCTAGTCGTTCAATGGAGCACATCAATAAATATAGAAATATTTTCTTCGCATTAACTAAAACCCAAGTATGTGTTGCATGGATTACACGTAGAGGGCTATTCCTTAGCTACTCTAGATCATTGATACTGTTTGTATAAGATGTCATACAGCGTCTTACTGTCGTGACAGTGAATACTCCAAGGGTGCTGAGTCATTACTAGCCAAAACTCGAAGGATGATAAGTGAGTAAGTGACTTCAGTTGTCGCTCAGCTTCAGTCTAAATGTAGATCTGTGCAACTTCTACTACAAGGCAAACAGAAGAGAAGAGGCGAGCAGCAAGGTAACAGAGAGGAAAGTAAAAGTATGTGGAATCGAATATGACCCTAGTGTGTGTACTTATATGCTTGTATTCGTTGTACATGGCCATCTAGTAAACATATATATTTATTGCTACTCAGTCTTATTATGCATTTACGCTACTAGTTTATTTATCATTTATAGTGTAATTAGGGTATTTATGCGCGTTTTTAGGTAATGTAGTAAACTAATAATTGATTCGTTCTAGACATAAATAGTTTATTAATGTAATCAGTAGAGTGAAACAGTCTGCACAGAGATCGTTTGAAAGTTATAACCGAGGTGCAAGTTGTGACTTCTGGGGGCAGGCTGTTCCATATCTTAGAATACATGACTGTGAAGAAGTTTTCACGGAGTGTTGATTTAAAGGCTTTTATTGTCACTGTGCAAGTTTGGTTACGCAGATCATAACAGCCTTCCGGTGAGTATTGTATGTCCTTATTACCTGAGAGTGGTATTGTGTGAGGTCATAAAGAAGGATACTAGATGTGTAATAAGTCGCCCTGTCCAAAGTGGGTCGAAATTTAGAATCATGCACCGTGAGACATAGTCTTTCGCCAAGTAGATGGGAGGTGAAATATTGCTGGATCCTTTCTATCCTTAGCTTGTCATGTGTGTGAGGGCTGCTTATAATAAATGGAAAGTACTCTAATAATAAGTGTAGTTGAAGTTATCAAGAAAGTAAGACGGGAGAGAATGTAAAGAAGTAAAACGACGAACTTAGTTGTCCACCCCTGAATAGTGTATGGGATTTTAAGGGGATAGACCATTTTGACACAGCCCTTGTGTCGCTGCATGATTGCCCAGCCTTCGCTTAAAGGCGTCCACAGGTGGTGCCATAGCTACATCTGCCGATAAGGAATTCCAGGGACACCAAATTCGCAGTGAAAAGAAGTGGGAGTGCACCCGGGTCCTTGCCCTCCTGTGAGCTATCCTCGGCACACTGTTTCAGAACAGATGGCTTGATGTCGTCACAACCTAGGAACTTCCCAGGTGTGAATCTCTGCAGCTTTCCTAGTACTCTTGCCGGGTTTATTTCGGGAGTAGCCACTGGGTTTTCCTCCGGTGAAATAGTAGTCTCACCACTTTGGTCCGTACCGGTTATACCAACATTGCTGTTTAACTGTTTGGCGAGGGCTAAACTGAATGCTTCCGCCATCCCCAGGCTAGTGAGATATTGACCGTTTGGGCCTACTAAGGCGCATGCCCCCTGGTTGGCTGATTTCCTCTCCGACATGAATCAGTACAAGTTTTTTGGGTTTGCTAGGAGTGTTTTGGGAAGTTTATACTGGAATTACCTCCTGCCACTCATGACTCTCGCATTGCACTGGTTCCTGAGTTCCAGGTATGAGTCGTGGTCTGTCTGCCTCTTGGATACGCGCCACGTAAACCAAGCCTTCCGCTTTGCTTGCAGAATACGTTGCGTGCCTCTCATCAGCCATGGTGAATTTCTTTTGGGCTGCGACTGAAGGGACGGTATCCGAGATTGCCGTATGAATAATCCTTTTACCACTTCGCAGTGTTCATCCATAGATAGCTTATCTCACGCTAAAGGCCAGTCTGCTCCGGACAAAAGCCTCCGCATTTCAGCATAGTCCGCCTTGCTATAACACAGATATGGTCGCGTTACGTCCCACTGCAAGAGCTCATGGAGAACAAGATCGAAACCTATGAATGCATGGTTACTACTTCCTAGGGGGGTCACGATCTGGACCTGTTCGACGAGTAGTTGGTCACTAGTTAGAATGTAATCTAATTTCGATGACTTTCGTCTAAGGCCCCACGTAGTGTCGTCTCCAACATTCTCCGTCAGTCCTATATTTTGAATAGTTTGCAGTGGATTTCGGCCGAATTTTCCCTCAGCATACCCTGAGCCAATGTTCAGTGATGGGGCATTGAAATCTCTAGCCATTGTGATTTAGTCATAGCCGAAGTCCCGCATCCCTGTGATGGTGCTGAGCAGTAGCTGATTGTGCCGTGCCCCACAGGTGGGTGATCGGTAGATGCCACCCAGTAAATGCTTGAAGTGGCCTACGGTGAAATGACACCATATGGAGTCTGGGAGTTCAATAAGTGGTGGGTGCGTTGTGCGTACACATTTAAGTTGCCTGTCAAAGTATATAGCAACTCCCCGTCCTTCCTCATTATCCCTGTCTCTCATGACGAGAACCATATCACCTACACTGATTTCGTTGTCAGCGATAGTTGGGGTTAGCCAGGTTTCAGTGAGAATTATTATATTAAGTTGTAGGTGTGATTGGAGATTTCTGAGTTCGCCTACGTTTCCTCCCACTCCTCTCACGTTGCCAGATAGGCAGCCGCCAGTGAGTCTCACAACCTCAGTGTTTTATGGGGTAGTTGACGTGAGGCTGTCTGCTGGTAGGGGACTTAATGTTGGGACCAGTTGACCGATTCCGATGGAACCGACCCGTGGAAGATTTTCTCCATGGATTCTGGTAGGGCACTTGGGTGACACAGACTGTTATTCTCAGCACTGCATCGCTCTAGTGTCACTGAGGCTTGGGGACGTATTGAAGCCTCAGTTTGCTACCTCCCTATGGTTAGGGGTCTGCTTTCGCAGCATCGGATATATCCTTGCATTTTCCCCTTGGTCTCATACCACCGTTGAAGTGCTATGGCCAACTGCTCCAGGGAATTGAATGTGGCACTTAGCAGCCTTGGAGAACTAACCAGTGTGAGATGAGCGAGGCGAGGTAGCCAGAAAATGGAGATCGCTCCAGGAATGCCAAGAGCCACCTGAGATGGCAGCCATCTCCACTGCTGTACGTCATGCATGTGTTTTTCACAGGCAGTGCCCGTTTCCAGCTCCGGAACACTGTGTACGACCATAGAGGTAGAAGGCATCAGTTCAGGTGACTCGCTCGCCGTTTGTTTGTTAGCCTATGGTCTATCATGTCTTGACCTTATGCTAGAAATTCTGTCGATGGCTAGTAGCTGAGCCATTAATAGCACTCCGGGCTCTTCGTCAAAGTCTAGTGTAACCCTTAATGGAGGTGGCTTACCCTGAGGCGTGTGGACACTCCTGTACAGCCTGCACTATTTCGGTGAATTAATGTTCAGACCTAATTTATTGCACAAGTTGGAGCACTGTTCCTGATCAAACAGGCCCGTTGTTCAAGCAAGCTACCCTTGCTCACAGGTACATTAAAAAGGATAAAAGAATTAGACCGATTAACCTCAGACTAAGCTTTGACCTTTGGCTACTTGTATTCCTTTGCAGCGTCAGTAACTTTAGGCTTCATGAGGTTTTGACCAGACTTTACTGTGTTGCGAAGCTTGCTAGTGGATGCAAGTGGTGCTCTGGCAAATATATCTTTCCCTGATGTTGTGGATGCAGCCTTGGGAATCTATACCTTGTGAAGATTGGCATTTACAGTCAGTTAGACTGGAGTGTCCTTCTTACTGTCTGTACCAAGTTTTGGCAGTGTGGTGTTGGCAGGTGGGGAGCTGCATGAGACTGTGTTGGGACACAAAAGTGGCGTGTTGTTTCTGCTATCCACAGACACGCTGTGTGGGACTGCGCCAGGGCGACAAAGTCGACGGATATACCAGAAACGTGGGCATGGGTTATTTCGCATTAACTCGTAGTATGATTTCGGCACCCCTTTGTCACAACCGCAGT